ACGATCGGCTACGCCTTCTATATTGTGTCTTCGGTAATGGCATCTCTGTTTCTTACCTTTAGGGATCTACTAACAATATCTAGGTTTTCTTTGCTGCGTGTGCTTGCTTTCTGGTGCGAAATTATGCCGCGTATGCTCGACACAGTGGAATCCCCGAAATCAAAACGATCCTCGGTGGAACTGTCATCCGACATTTCATGGGGCCATGGACGCTTGCTATTAAATCACTGGGTCTAGTGAGTCAAGCTTCTTCTTGTTGGGAGGCTTATTTGCTAACAACTATCAGTGTCTCTCTGTTGCATCCGGTCTATGGTTAGGTAAAGAAGGTCCACTTGTGCATGTTGCATGCTGCTGCGCGAATATCCTGATGAAACCTTTCGAAAGCCTCAGAAGTAATGAAGGTATGTCACTAATTCGCTGTCACTCAACGCACGTTTACTTATTTTACAGCACGCAAAAGAGAGGTCTTTTCTGCGGCGGCTGCCGCAGGTATCTCAGTCGCATTCGGGGCACCCATCGGGGGCGTTCTGTTTAGTTTGGAGGTGAGGGCCATCGTCAACTTCGTGCTATCTATCTCCTTTGCTTATTTTCCCAGCAACTGTCATATTATTTCCCCGACAAAACAATGTGGCAAAGCTTTGTCTGTGCCATGGTCGCAGCTGTTACTTTGCAAGCCTTGAATCCTTTCCGGACGGGTAAAATTGTGCTGTATCAAGTCACCTACACTCGAGGCTGGCACCGCTTCGAGATTATCCCATTTATTTTTCTTGGCATCATTGGAGGTCTCTACGGTGCATTCCTCATCCGCCTGAATACGAGAATAGCCATGTGGAGGCGAGCTCGAACTTCATCTCGGCCAATCATTGAAGTGGTTGTCGTAGCTCTCATTACAGCTTTGGTCAACTATCCGAATCACTTCATGCGAGCTCAGAACTCGGAGCTTGTTCAATCGCTGTTCGCTGAGTGCAACAGTGTGACTTATGATCGATTTGGCCTCTGCGCCACGGGGTCTGCCTCAATCGGCGTGGCAATCTACCTGGTCGTAGCTGCTTTATTGGCCTTTTTCTTAGCTTCCTTAACATTTGGACTCGAAATTCCTGCGGGCATTATCCTCCCTTCGGTCGCTATCGGTGCTCTTTTCGGGCGGGCTCTAGGCATCATAGTCCGCTTGTGGCAAGAATCTTATCCGAAAGCATTCCCGTTTGTCAAATGCGAGCAAGACATACCATGTGTCACGCCTGGCTTATATGCAATCATTGGGGCTGCTGCTGCTCTTGGTGGTGCTACTCGAATGACCTTGTCAATTGTCGTTATCATGTTTGAATTGACTGGCGCGTTGACATATGTGATTCCGATCATGATTGCCGTTATGTTGTCCAAGTGGTGTGGTGATATCTTTGGAAAACGAGGCATCTACGAATCATGGATTCGACTAAACGAATATCTTTTCCTCGACCACCGCGATGACACCACTCCGCCAGACGTATCTGCCCACCGGGTCATGACAACCGTGGACGATATCAACATCATAACTGCCACCGGTCATACTATTGCCTCGATCCGCAGCCTCCTAGCTAACACTACATATCGCGGGTTTCCCATAGTCTCAGACACGTCGAGTCCGATCCTGCTAGGCTACATCACTCGCAATGAGCTTTCTTTTGCTCTGAAATACTCAACCTCTCCTACCACCCGCAACCTCTCCGACGACACACAGGTCTTCTTTTCGCATCAACCTTTTGCTGACCCTATTGATACCCTTGATCTACGGCCATGGATGGACCAAACACCGATTACCTTGAACAGTAACATCACTTTCTTGATTGTTTTGCGAATGTTCCAACGCCTTGGCTTGCGTTATGTGCTATTTGCCAATAAGGGCATTCTACAAGGAATACTGACCAAGAAAGATGTCTGGTCGGTGCTGAATGGCGTGGAGTTTCGCCGATACGAAGCACTTCAAGACGACGCATTCCATAATTTTGAAAATCGTAATGAGGCAGAAGAGGTTGGTTTGCTTGATGGGAATGATACATCCAGTCTTGGTAGTTCGTTGAGGCGGGATTCTCTTTAGATGATTTTTGCTGCTATGTTTTTCTGTACAATCCGACTATGTTAAAAGATTTAAGGAAATCCACTCCAGGCAAATGCCAGAGAAGCTTTTACATTACGTTCATGCGTGCGGAGCGTGATGTAGGTCAGTATTGAGATAAAATTGTGGCTTTGCCCCACCGCCCTGTCCAACCCCACATATTTCTGTCGATTTTTAAAACTGACCGCCCTCATATTTACAGCTGCCGATCTTCCTGCCCTTGAGAAAGCCAAGAAAACGGAAGAAAAAATGATGATCGATCCTTTTGAGGTGCGAATGCGCTTCACTACGCAGCTGCAGCACCTCAGTGCGGCTGTCACATCATCGCAGAAGGCCGCCCATTATGCGTTGAAGTACCGTGACCTCGATGAAGATCTTCACTCATGCATCCTCGAGCAGCTTGAGCGGGTTAGAGTTTCATTTTCGATTGTGTTGATCCATTCTGACTTTGTGTGTGGTAGAATAACATGAACAATCGCGCGAACATCATGTACTTTATTGAACAGCTCTGCGAAATGGCCATCAAGGAAAACTACCTTCCATACGTGCGCATGATGCAGCGAGATATCCTGCGCGTGGTAGACTCGGTCGTTCCCCCCGATGGCACTGGCGCAGCCAATGTTAAGCATGTCCGCCACGTGCTGAGTGGTCTCCAGGCGAAGGAAGTCCTCAGCGCCGAAACCGTGGCGGAGATCGACGCCGCTTTGAAAGACCGCGATTCCCACCCCTCGCACCTGGATCTTGAACAAGACGAAGTCCCCGAAGGAGGCAGCAAGTTGAAGTCTGAGAAGCCTCAACTGCGCCTTGACAAGAGGCAGATCGAGCAGCGCATTGAGGAGGACCGTGAGCGCAACAAGCGTCAGCGCGAAAGCATGTGGGCCATGACTGGAAATGATCTCGACGAATATAATCAAATGTGGGAAGAGCTAAGCCCCATTGGGGAAGATGACTTTATCAGGTCTCGCGAGGAAGCCCTGGAACGCGCCGAGTGTGTTCGTAAGCACGAGGAGTTCTATAAAAACCTACACGGTATCAAGGAGCAATGATTCGGTAGGCATATTGCTTGTTATGCTTTGCATTGTGGTTTCCAGGATTTTATTTCCGGTCTAGGCGTTTACTTGGAACTCTGCGGCGTTCTGGTCTTTTACGGTGTCTATGCACAGCGTAGTATCACTTGCATCTAATTGCACAATATTCAAGGGTCATGCCACATGACTGAGTATTCAACGTTTTCAACTTTCAATTCCCAAACTTGCTATGTTGATTATGACTCGTCTTAGACCCTTCAAGGGGGCTAAAAAATCACTTTTGTCCCAAGTTTTATCCCAGCAGACTTTTCATACAATCAGTATGAAGAGAGTGCACTTCATATTATATATACTATTTGACTCCGCAGCTACCCGTAAATCTATCGATTCAACTCAATTTTAATTTTCAGGCAATTTCGGTGTCATATTGCGCAAGAATTTGCTTCGTTGCTTGTTGGTGACTGGCACAGCTCTTTTTTTTTTAATATTTGACCCAAGAAAAACAAAATGGTTGTTTGCGCAGGTATCAGGCACCAGAGGATATATCACCAAGGTGGAAATTTAATTTTCAGCAACAGAAGAAGCCGACTTGATCACTTTAAAAGAAGATAGACTCTATGTTGTACTTGCTCACAGAATGAAGGTGAATGGACCTCGGGAGAGTTTCTTATCGACTCCGCTCTCGGGAAATCCTCTTCGCCGAGAGATTTTTTTATTTCTGCTTCACCTCTTGATCAACACGAGGAACTGTTTCCCCATTTTGGGTTTCATTAATCTATCTCTCAATTCCCTTTTCACCCTATGTTTGCTCACTTGGTCACTGCAGCCAAGGGATTATTTACGCGACAGCCCGAAGAACAAGAGTTCCAATCCGCTGGCACTTCTGCCACCAATTCCAGTATGGCCCCAGCTATCCGACGAGGAAATGATGCGCCCGAAACCGCGAGTGGAAAGCGCAAGTCACACTCAGCTAGTGCTAGTAAGACCGAGAATCAGCAAACCAAGCGGAGAAGAAGAAGCGATCCGAAGGCCACTGGAACCGATGAAGATGCTACGAAACCTACCCCAGCAGAGAAATCCAACGTAATTGGGGATAAAGCACCTGCGGCCAAGAAGATTCGATTCGATAGCGAAGAACCAGAAACAGTTGAAGCACAACCAGAAGAAATTTCGGAAGCACCAACTCACGAAGACGACGAAGATGACAGCGACGATGATGCGCCAGAGACCATTGATAACTCTGCCCAGCTATTGAAAATGAAGGAGCAGGCCAAGAAGCAAGAAGCAGCCAAGCAATTGTACGTGTAATTTCTTACTTTTGGTGAAGTCAATTTTGACCACTAGTTTGTACAGAGAAGAGCAACTGAAGAGAGAGAAGCGACGGAAACTCGATGAGCGTCGCAAGTTGCAGGCTAAATCGGTTGTCAAGCCCAAGGAGGCTCCTACTGATGACATGCTTTCTGAAAGCACGGCTACTCTCCAAGGCACAACTACTCAAGATGCACGACGAGCTGCTCTCCCTGCTTTACTTCCCGATGACATTTTGAACGCCGAGTTTGCTATTCGCCCTCCCACACCCCCAGCTGAAGATCAACTTGCCGTGCCGAAGAAGTCAAATAAGTTGCGATTCCTGGATAAGCAGGACAAGCTTCCCAAGGATGTCAACATGGGGGACGTCTCTATCCGGGTGCTGGATGCGCCATCCTCAAAGAAGTCCTCAAAGCCCGCACTGGCCCCTAAGATTTCCAAGGCTGGACGGAACCTCAAGAGTAGCATGCTTCAGAAGACCCGTACCATAGCTCAGGGCAATGGGCTCCGACAGAAGGCGGGCGGTCCTTCTGGATTTGTTCGCCGGTGAACTGGAAAACGTTGTGCGGTCATTAAGAAAAGCGATTTATGTTCAGTGTCAAATATCTGCAAACAAAGCTGGAAGTTACATCTACGACCTGCCAATTGTCGACGGGGAACACGCTCACTTGCATCGACTGATGTTCCTTCTCGTGGGGGTTTGATGCCCCATTGGCGCAAACGGAATGTCGGTGTCGAATGGACATGCAACCAAACCTGTGTCCACTGCAGCCTATTTATGATCGGTCATTGAAAGAAAAGATTTTTGTCCAAGTGCCATTAGGGTTGCATGGTGTTCAATGGGAGTAGAACCTGGTCTGTAATTCAACTGTGGGGGAGTTATGCAAATAGGATTCAGTCAATTATTTCCAATACTGTCTGACAATAACTTCAATCAAAATCATTTAAATGTAGGAATCTCTCAATATATAAAGAAGAGAAGAGTCAAAAAGTGAACTGATTCAAAAGCGCCAAGGACCGGACCCAGTCAGATTCTCAGATTATTAAGGCGGACATCTGCGAAAGCTTGCCAGCATTCTCGACTTTTTTCCACTTCACTCTTTGCTTTTCTTCTACCTCCAATCCCATTCGCCAATGGTGTTTGTTCCCTAACTCTTTACATTTCAATCCTTTTGCCATGGCGCCTGACGCAGAGAATTCTCCTCTGCTGCCACAGTATCAGAACTCGGCCTCCAATACGTCACCACGTACAAACCGGACACCGCGGTCGGTATCTTTCAATCCGCTCACTCAAATCAGCACATATGGCAGCACAGCCTCTACATCCGATCCTACATTCCGACCGTTGCAAGCAGGCTCACCTCCTGTGCAGAATGTCAACGCCCAGGGAGGCCAGCCCCGTCCTGGCAGCCAGCCCATGCTCTCGGCATTGAACAGCAAGCTTCGTCGTCGCAATAGCCATGGGGCTCCCTTCAACCCTTTATCGAATCAGCCGCATGCAGTATCTAAGATTGGACCGCAGCGAACAACCAAGAAAGCGCAAAAACTAAAACTGCTGCCGGATCCCGTGACGGAAGAGGAAGAGGGCTCTGATGGAGATTTCCCTCGGGATGTCTATTCACAAATCACTCGCATCAAGGATCCTGCCGCACGAAGCCATGCTGCACGACTTGGTAAAGCCGACCGTGATCGCATACCTCGAGTAACAGCTTATTGCACAGCCAACTCATATCGACTCGAGGGCGTTATCAAGTTCCTCAAGTCGCGGAGCAAGACTCGCGGAGCCAACCCCAAGCTCTATGATGAATGTGTCTACTCTCCTTTTGATTATCAGTACGAGGAAAAGCAGAATGCACGACTATTTCAAGACCCAAACGGCAATGGATCCCATGAGAGACGACCCAGTGAAAGAAGATACTCGGATAGTGTGGTGGAGGTTGAAGACAATAAGAAGACCAGGAGAGAGGACTTGATTGATCTGCACGACGAGCGCAGTCACTCAAATGATAACGAACAAGCAGTCGTCAACGACACTCCTGATATCGACACCACAATCCACACACCTGAGGTATTCCTCTTCGACTACGGAACAGTCGTAATTTGGGGAATGACGCCCGCGCAAGAATCAAGATTCTTGTCTGATATCTCCAAATTTGCGACCTCCATATTAAGTCCCGATGACACGCAGATTGAGAACTTCAATTTCTACTATGCGCGTGAGTACCAGGCCAGGATCTACAACGACTTCATTTCTCTTCGCGATCCGCGCAACAATATGGTCAAGATGGCAATTTCTCATGCTTTGTCCCAATCGGTTAAGACCTCGCTTTTCGAAGATCTTGTGTCAGAAACGATCACCGACACTGCACCGCTACCTGCCCAGATTGCACAAACTGGTAGCGTCAATCTCACTCGTCGGCAAATCAACATGCAGATTGGAGAGCTATTCATTCTCCGCATCAATATTCACTTGCAAGGATCTGTCCTCGATAGCCCGGAACTCTTCTGGGCAGAGCCGCAGTTGGAACCTGTCTACCAGGCAGTCCGAAGCTACCTGGAGATGGACCAACGTGTTGGTTTGCTGACGGAACGGTTGGATGTCATTGCGGATCTTCTTGCAGTCCTAAAGGATCAATTGACACATCGCCATGGCGAGTATCTCGAATGGATTGGTAAGTCTCACCCACAATTATGATTTCTATTAACGACCCATCTAACGAATACCAGTCATTGTCTTGATCGCCGCAGAGATTCTCGTGGCTGGAATCAATATTGTCGTTGATCTCTACGCTGGAGTGGACTAGAGTGACAGAATTTACTCATCAACCAGTCCACGCTCGTCTCGACTAATCAACTGTGCTGTGAATACTTGTCATTCGTACCATGTATTGCCAGAATATTGCTTATCTACCTTGTCATACAATGCATTCCAATTCTGCATTGACAACCGCACAAGGAATACATCATGCCAGCAAACACCCTACAGAACTCGCCCAATATCCCAACCGAATAGGGACTTCAAATACACCCACTGCGTTCAATCTTCCTATGTCACCATCACCCTCTGCTATCTGTACCATCTTTCCAAACCTGTCATGTCTTCACCTATACATGACAGAAGACATTCATGCCCAGACGATCATATTCCATTCTTGTTTCCAATGTTGTCTTTGTAACTGATGTTGGAGTTGACGTGTGCTCTTTCTTGAGGAAATGGCGTTGGGAGTCTGTTCAGATGGTGTCAATCAAATCAAAATGCTATTGCTCTGATGTAGTCTGTCTTGTGGAATGACCCTGCAAATGCTTTCTTTCGAATGGAATCAAGTGTTCGAAGCCCATACGTCCTACCAACCCAATACAGTGATTGAAGCTTCTTGAAATATTGAACAGACGCTAGAGTCAAAAGATAGCGCCATTAAGCTGTGCCTCGAAACCCATAAACTCTCCTCCCCAAACCGACAAAAATCCCCCTATATCCCCTTGTCATCAACCTTTTCTCTCTTCCCCCTACTCTGCTTTTACCCCCCTGCGTTGGCAAGTAATAACTACAATGGTCGGCTGCGTTTGCAGCCCCATCTCATCTTTTTGGTAGTCGTTTCGACGGTCCTCTTGGTATTCAAGTTAAAAAATTCTCCTTCATTGGTGTTTTAGCTAGAGCATAGGCGGCCAAAAAGGCCTAGTTGGTGAAAAAGGGACCTTTTAATGCATAACCATCGATAACAGAGTCTAGATGAGGGGAATTGAAAAGCTATAGGGAGGAGCCAGTTACTTCAACCATGCTTTTCGCATGAGGTTTCTCAGATAAGCTTCATATCAGACATAGACGCCAGGGAACCGTAGAGTAGGCAGCGGAAAGGCCTAAATGAGGCCCACCAAAAGCAACAAAAATCATAATCTAGAAAGTAGACCAGCACCGCATCCGAACCCGATGCATAAAACCCTCGAACAAAACAAACCGAGCAGAATAGCTCTAGAGCAGAAAGGTTTAGCCACGACCCTGCAAAGTTCAAATAGCAAAGAAAGAAACACGGCAAAAGCACAGCCCCAGCAACTAAGACTGCTCGACCTTAGCCTCCTCCTTATCCACATCCATCGGCGTAGTCCCAGACTCAGGGCCAGCCTCAGCAGCAGCAGAAGTCTGGTCAGCAGAGCCACCACTACCCGTCTGCACACGGAAGGAATGAGTAAGAGACTCCTGTGTCGGAGCCGGCGCAAGACGGGGCAGAGCTGCCCCAGCCGGATCTGCAGATTCGGTGTGTCCATCTTGAGCGGGGAGATCATCATCCTGGCCATCTATACCGGTGGCGTTGGACTTGCGGGAGCGCTTAACGCGTAGTGGACGTTCCTCGGGCTATTCAACATAAAAAACAAAACACGTTAGCTTGGACCAAACAGACAATCGGATAAGTTGAGAGAGGAGTACGTACTGTGCGCGGCTGCTCATCAGAGCTACCCTCGGTATCATCTTCCAGAAGCACACCAGCACCACCCTGTACAGGATTCATCATAGCCGCGGCGCGGGCACGCAGTTCAGGGTTCGCGGCGCCGGTCTTTGCCTCATCAGCCATGCCGGTAACCTTTTTAAGACGTTCGAGAAGCATGCAGGTTTCCAGGCGCATTTTCTGAATGTATTGGGAGCCGCGCCGGTTGCGGGTGCGCATGATTTCATTTTCGGCCTCGACTTCTGCGAGGCGCTTCTTCAGTGCTATGCATTTGCGCTTGTAGGCGATCTCCACACTTGGGGGATTGGCTGGTGGGATGGAGGTGGGTTGGCGGGAAGCTTCCATTATGATGAAGGGGGAGGTGATCGGTATTGGTGTATAGAGATAATGAGACTAGACTGTGGACACAGCGGTATTTGGTTTGGGATGCTTGGTCGGAGCTGACTGAGGCGAAGGGGTGAAGTGAGATATGAAGGAAGAAGGAGGAGGAAAGAACCAGACGGTAGACAGTGGAATATATTATATTTAGCCCTGATTTGTGGTGGATTAGTCGTTGGTGACGCGAGTGAGTCGATTGACGGAAATGGTGGACCCTATTGAGAAGTGCCCAAGGTCGTCGGCAACAATGCGATGATCTCCAACATTATTCTGCCCCGATATCAAAGGCGGTCTACACATGTTGTGTTATTTAACAAGTATTTATTAACTCAACTCCCTGCTATATACTATATAGCGCCAGGAAAGCAAGAAACCCCTATGAACCATGAATATCTAGTGGCCTCCAGTGGTGGGAAGACCAAGGAATACCTTGAAAGAGTCGTAACTGGGGAACGTTAGCGTCACTGTACGTGCAAATCAGGACGGAACAAGCACTTACATGAGCCATTGGAAACCGGTCAAAGTGCCCAGCATCACAATACGAACAGGCAACCCATTCCATAGGCCAGAGAAGCCAATGTTCCCGTAGATGCGGGACACAGCCGTCATCGCACCTTCGCCAGCTACAAACGGGCAGTTAGCATGCATCAAGACTGCAGCCAATAGAGAGAACCCCACTTTTGCGATCAGCATTTAGTTTGCTAACCATGAAATCTGCTGGATGGCTAACAATAGCACATAAGACTCCAGCAATGTAACCACCCAAGAAGCTAACACCAGTCTGTGTCAATTGGCCATACTCCTCCTTGGGGTTTCCCATAGTGCGGTAGATGAGCTTGACCGTCTCCTCAAAGGTAGCAAACTTGGTCATGGTATAAGGGATCTGTCTAGCCCACAGAGGATATAATCCCTTATACAAACCACCGAAGCCCTCCTTGGCTACGATCTTTCCCCAGCCCTCACGCATACTGGAAGCATATGGCGGCAGCGTTGTCTGCATACGGACCTTGATAGCCTCCATAGGGCACAGGGCCACATCAGCAAAGAACTCAGCAGAAGCACTAGCACCAAGGAAGACTAATGTGCGGTTGGATTCCGGGAACAGCTGGTTTCCATACAAGTGCTTGAAGTACTCGTACAGACCGTACTTTCCGGCACCCTGGAAGGAGTAGCCCAAGAAGGTGGGAGACCAGCCGAAGAAGACGCCACGCAGGCCTTCTTTGGAGAAGATTGTTCGCCATGCTTGTACGTTGGAGGTGTAGATCTTTGGATCAACCTGGCGACGGCATTTCACGAGGTCTAGAGGCGTTACGGCTGTGTGGGTTGGTCCTGTGTAAATTGGGTGTCAGTTGAATGTGTTAGTTGTATATTGGTGAACTTTTACTTACCACAAGCTTTATAAAATTGTTAGCGCTTGCCTTTTAAGATGAGGAGCTTGGACATACCAATGATTCCGCCGAAACCACAGCTGAGGAAGTACTTGAGGGAGTTGGGCCCGATCGTCCCCAGAGGAAGCTTGCGTTCCTGTGTAGGCATGGTACAGATCTTTGCAATTACTTGAAAGAGGGGAGAGTTGTAAGGTGATCAAGAAAAAGAGCACGAGATACCAAGATTGTACCTTGGAAGAGAGACCTATGTCGTCACTGGGCTTATCTCTCCGCACTGCTCTCCGCATCACTCCCCGAACCTTTTGAACCAACAAAAATTCATACAATCTACCGTGTCATGGGTTTCTATACTTTGACTATGTTCATCCATATTACATATTTTTGTAACTCAACTGAGATTCAATTCACCATGATCTTATATCGATGACCTTGATATCCGGCTAGCTCGGTACTGAGGAAATATACTACGAAAGCCGACTTAGCCGGAGTTCCCTTAAATAGTACACAGGAAGCTGACAGAAATCTATAGTTTCAACAATTTATGGACGACCAATGGATCAAGTATGAAAAAAAGACTCTGAATTCTGTAACTAACTAAACGAGAAAATCCGCCTTGTTAACAATCTGCGCGGACAAAGCTAACTATTATACGATTTGTATAGATCATTTTGCTAAACAAAGCGAAGCAAATAACGGAATTTTTGTAACACCATGCATGTTTTCAGGTGTAAGGCTTGTCAAACGGGTGAAATACAATGTTGAGAGAGGAGAGTGACAGAGATCTAATCGTGCCAAGCGCCCAACACACCTTCGTGTATTGGTGCGCCCCACTAAACGATAATTTTTCAAGTTCACATCAACTTTCTTAGCGTTTCACACTCTACCACGATGGCCGATCAAATTGAAACTCTCGAGGATCGAATTTCAAAGGGTATTAATGCATTTCGTCAAGCCAAAAATCCTAAAATCGCCCCGTTGGCGCGGGAATTCAGGGTTCCGTACCAGCTACTACGCGCCCGTATCCACGGGCGCGGTAGTAAAACCAATGCTACAAGCGCCAAAAGACCTTAAATCCTATCCAGGAGAGGGCATTCAAAACCTGGATCGATACCCTACATATGTCTAAAATAGGGATACCCCCATCCCTCATTGAAAAGACTGCAAATGCAATTCTACAACGCGCCGGCAACGATCAGGTAGTAGGCCCAATGTGGGTATACCGCTATGTGCAAAGATTACCACCTGAGATACCCTATATCAACCCAAAAATGGCCGAAAAAGTGAGGGTGAGCAGTACGGCCCAATGTTTCTTTGGTTTAACAGCCTCTGTGTGCTATTTGAAAAGCATCAATTCTGACCCTATGAGATCTTTTAATTGGGATAAAACTGGCTACCAAATTGGCCAAGGTAAACTGTAAAAGGTGCTAGCACCTTTTGCTAACTATACCAACCCAACTGGTGGTCTAAAGGAATCAATTACTGGTATTGATGGATGCAAATACTCTTTTGTCCCAAGAAAATGAATTACTAAGGGCCGAATTAAAGAAGGCTCGTATAGCCATTTCTACTGCAAATGCCCCGAGAAATGGTGGATCTATTTTTGGATCTAGGGCCTCGGTACTATCACCTATATACGCAAATAGGAAGATGGTGGCTAGGCGAGAGGCTGATTCTAAAAAGTTGAAGCGCATACATGCAAAACATACCAAGGATTTAGAAGCTACACAACAGGCCCAAAAGGCTAGGGATTTAGCTGATACTGAACATGAAGCTTTAATGGCGGTAAGAGATAGCAATGGTGGAAATTGGTATGTAGATAGTTATGGTGGTTATATGTAAATATGGACTTGAATGCATTTATTACCTCGAAAATTATCCTTGAGTGAGAATTATCCTTGAGTAAGAATTATCCTTGAGTGGGGCGCACCAATACACGAAGGTGTGTTGGGCGCTTGGCACGATTATGGTTTCCGACAGGCCGGAATCTGACCCCCACTCCCTGTGGTTGATTCCTCCTATAGACTCTCTGTGATGGATCTTGTCAGGGTGCGGG